CCCCCCCCCCCCCCCCCGCACCCCTGAGGTTGTTCATAGGGGAAATTTCCCAGTCATCAACCGTCAAGCTATGTACCCCCCCCCCCCTGAAAGTGTCAGTACGCGTAGTCTCCCCATCATGCACAAGCTCATGTACGACCCCCCCCCGTACCCCTGAGAGTATTCATGGGCGAATTATCCCAGTCATCAACCATCAGCTGTGTATGCCCCCTCCCTGAACGTGTCACTAGGCGTAGTCTCGCCATCAAGCACAAGCTCATGTAAGAGTAAAACCCCTACTGGAGTAGGCCGCAGTGGTGAGTATCTTCCTGAATTGCCAGAACAAACACAGGCCATGGTTTGCTGAGTGGTCAAGACCCTTGCGACATTGTGGTATTTCACTCACCAGTAGCAGCTGAGGAGGGTGTATCGATCGAAGTCAATACTTATCGGTGTGCCCATGCACCTTGGTTAAATATTACCAAGTACCCGGTAGCCTTACCTAACCCTAGATTGTTGTTAATTTTTGTCTTTGGGGAGGACAGGTCGCCACGAAACGACTCAAGTGTGTTTTGTGTTTGGACCGTCCTAACTCCGCAACGCTAATCCCTACCTACCCCTGTGAAGGTTCGCGTGGGTGAAGCAGCGAAAGGCTCAGAACAAGATGGGCGAAGCCCTGAAAGACCTCTCTCGGCTGGCAGCAGAGCTCTCCGAAGAGGAGAACTCCCTCAAGGTCAAGTGCCTCCTCAAGGTGAGCACGACGCCTCCTCCTGTCGCGGTGGCGTTTACCGTACCGTATAGGTCGCGTCAGGGTTAAGTTTTTTAAGGTCAAGTGCCAACTCGAGGGGAGCACAACGCCTCCTCCTGTCGCGGCGGCGGCTACCGTAGGGGGTTAGGGTTAAAGGTCAAGTGCCTCCTCAACGTGGGCACGACGCCTCCTCCTGTCGCGGTGGCGTTTACCGTATAGGTCGCGTCAGGGTTAAGTTTTTTAAGGTCAAGTGCCAACTCGAGGGGAGCACAACGCCTCCTCCTGTCGCGGCGGCGGCTACCGTAGGGGGTTAGGGTTCAAGGTCAAGTGCCTCCTCAACGTGGGCACGACGCCTCCTCCTGTCGCGGTGGCGTTAACCGTATAACTCGCGTCAGGGTTAAGTTTTTCAAGGTCGAGTGCCAACTCGAGGGGGGCACAACGCCTCCTCCTGTCACGGTGGCGGTTTCCGTTGGTCGCGTTACGGTTACGGTAAAAAGTCCAGCACCTCAAGGGGAGGACGATGCCTCCTCCTTTTGCGGTGACGGTTTCAGGGTTTAGGTGATGAGGGTTTGGGACAGCGCTGGAGCTAGGACTAAGGTCAGAGAAGGAATTCCTCAAGTTCACATTCCACCCGTCGGGTGCATGCACCTCTGTACATTTGTTTTTTACGTCGATCACGTGGGGCTCTGCTTTGCAGCTTGAGGCTGCACAAATCCTGCCCAGGAAGCGTTTTTGCGGGCTTTTTCTCCGCGGTGCCCTGTTTTCGTGATGACCAACACAGTATAGTGGTTTCGGTGGACGAGAGATGCTTCAGGAGATTGTACTACGAGAGAACTTACGGTTAGCAAGCGGCGGCTTGTCCGGGCCGTGAAAGTTCCACAAAATTTGACGGTACAGCGTACGAGACAACCAGAATTTAAGAGAGCGTTACGGGCTATTGGTCTCGAGCCTCTCTCTCTTTCTAACCGTACTGTAGCCGCCACTGCATGTTGTCTTGTTGCCAGACGGGCAACTGGGAGCTGCGCCTTGAATCGAAGGCGGTACTGTCTTGTTGTCAACAATACCAACTGGGAGCTGAGCCTTGAATCAATGGCGGTACTACACGCTGTCTTGCTGTCAACAATACCAACTGAGAGCTGAGCCATGCACCAAATGCTTTACTACACGCTGTGTTGTTGTCAACAATACCAACCGAGAGCTGAGCCTCAAGCCGTTGTCGGTACTGCGTGCTGTCTTGTTGCCAGATGGGCAACTGGGAGCTGAGCCAGGTGGCCCCCTCGAAGCCTTTGCCGGTACCCGTGCGCGACCGCGTGTTCACGGCTTTCAAGAAGGCCACGGAGTTAGAGGAGGACAACTACAAGGCTTGGCACCACTGGGCGATGGTGAGAGCAAAGGCTCCTTCGTTGTTGTGACTCTGCCTGTGACTGGTGTGGTGGTTGTTGTTGTTGCTGTTGTTGTTACCGTCGTTGAAGCCGAACCATATGGCCGAGTTTCATTTATCTACCCCCTCCACCCGCCCGCACACACACACGGGAATTTGTTGTTCTCGTCCCCCACGATTTACCCTTGCATACGTTTCGTTCATGTTAGGTGAACTTCCGTGTGGTGGAGCTGGCCATGCAGGAGGCCAGCATGAGCAGGGGAGGGCAGAGGTTCAGACCAGGGCCTGGCAGGTATTGGGTCATTTACCTCGATACTTGTTGATGCTTGTGTGGAGGGTAAGGTATTGTTGTTGCTGTTGGAGTTTCTATTGATGCTGTGTCGTGCTGGTAGGTGGTGACGGTTTTGATGTTGACGGCGATCGTACTGAAGTTGGTGTTGATATTAAAATTATCATTGGTGGTCGTTGGTGATAAATTGATGGCAGACCTGTTTTTTGGTAAGTGTCGTTGTGGGAAAAAATGAGCTTGAGTGATGGCAGAGATGGTACTTGAACGACGCCGCGTGCCATGGTAAACTCAAGTAGATCATGTAAGGGCTTGTGGTTGGCAGAATGATTCATAAGGTGTTGGTGGTAGATCATGTCAGGGCTTGTTGTCAGCAGTACGACAGGTAGACCGAGTTACCAATCCTGACAAACGGTATGTCAGCGCCGTTGTTGGTGTTTTGCTGGTGGTAATACATCATGTAGGGCGTGTGGTCGGCATTATTATTCATAAGATGTTGGTGGCAGATCATGTCAGGGCTTTTTGTCGGCACTAAGACAGGAAGACCGAGTTACCAATCCTGACAACGGTACGTCTGTGCCGTTGCCGGTGTGTTGCTGTTGGTGGTAAATTATGTCAGGGCTTGTGATCGGTGATGTGGGGGCTTGTGGTGGGCTGTATAATTCACAACTGGTTGGTGGCAGATCATGTCAGGGCTTGTGGTCGGCAGCACCTGGCAATCCGCTGTACCGACCCTGACAACGGTGTCTTTGCCGACATGATGTGGTGTTGTTGATGATATGATGATGTCAGGGGTTCGGGACGGCTGTACGGCAGGCAGACTGAGCAGGAGCGGAAGGTGTTCACGGAGAGGCTCGTTAGCGCGGCGAGAGGGTTCATGAGGGCCATCATGCTCGGCAAGAAGAAGTGGAGCGCCCTTGTGCAGCAGGTGCGTTGCTGCTGCTGTTGTTGTCGTGGTCGTCTGTGTCGTTTGGGGTTGCCGTTGCTGTCGCTTTTGTGGTTGTTGGTGCCTGTGCTGTTGTGCTTGCGGCTGCGGCTGTACGGTTGCTATTGCTATCGCTGTTGTCGCGTCGTCGTCGAACGTCTGGAACGAAGCAGCCGTCGACCGCACTGATGTACCCTTTTCTGTCCCTTTTTCTGTAACCCTGATCTTGACCATGCGCACACGCTCTCTCCTTCCATACTCCACTTTTCCTTCCCTTCTTCTCTTTTTCCGGGATCCTCTTGCCT